CCCCCTTGGATAACCGACCCAAGGTACTTGAAGTTGCCTCTACATGGGATGACCTGTGATTCAAGCCTCACATCCACACCCATTTCCCACGGCTCAGCACTGAACTTACACTCCAGGTATTCCGTCTTCGTCATGATTAGCTTGAAATCCTTAAACTCAAGATCATGTCTCCAAACCTCCAGCCTCTCGTTAACACTGACTCACGGCTCATCAATCAGGACTATATCATCGGGGAATAGCGTTCACCATGGCACCTCCCAATGCTCAAAGTTCTTTTATAGATTTATTTTATGTGCATGATATGTCATACACATATTATTAATATAAGTTGGTTCGATTTGGTATCTTTTCGGGTCTTTATATGAAAATAAAAAATTAACTTAATTATTCGATAGGAGTATAGGCTCATACTAAAATTTAAGCGTTTATGAAAAAAATCTAAAACTCGTTTTGTTTAAGTTCGATTGGGTCTATTGTCAGTAGAGGTGCCAAAAAAAGAAAGAGAAAAGGATATTGTATAGCTACTCTCAGAATAACAGCCAAAAAATATATATTTTTTGTATGCATATGTATTTATATATATTTTGTATAAAATATTATATAAATTCTATATAATTTTATGATAACCAAATGTAAATAGTTTCGATCACGGGATAAAAGTGATCTTTTGCTCAAAAAAGAATCTAAAACTCGTTACCCTCTAAGACGTGAATAGAAGGGGTTGGGGTTGTGACACTAAGTGGCCACGGAAGGGGTTGCTAAGGTTGGCATTACTAGAGAAACAACGGCGGAGGCAAGGGCGGATTTATAAACAAAATTACATGGCACGTGAATTCATAGTTTTTCTATAAAATTAGATATTATATATATTAAATTGGTATAATATTAACTGTTGGCACCCTGCTCCAAGAAGGTTGAATGGTGCACTTGGTTGAAGGTTAAGCTATTTCAAAAAGAAAAAGGATCAATTCTCACTTAATACATTTTCTCCTCTTTTTTTAGTAGTCCACACATGTACTAGAAATTCTAAATCTGCCTCTAAGCAGAGGTAAAATTTTCATCAAGGAATTTAACATCTTCTATGTATACGTAAAAAAGAATTAATCTTTTTATATAATGAATATTTCGGTAAAGGTGATTTAGATAAACTCTCGCCCTCTAGCTCTACCCCTTCAGAGAAGATCTATTTAAAGTTTAAAAAAGAGTTTATCAAAGCTGAAATTATATTCCAGTACTTGTAGTTATTATTATTCTTTTGTGGAAGTTGAAAATTTAAAATAACTTTATTTAGAACACACCTCCAAACCACTAAGTTCAAAAACTTGAACTCAAACAATGCTTTCTTGCAAATTCTCCTTAAGAAAAAATGGGGCATTTGCATCTATACCCGCTTTTTATGCCACAT